CCCGTTACTTAGGGTCTCCCCCCTCCCTCCCCCCAGGTCCGTGACTCAGAACAACACGACAGCAGAGCAGCGCACACCTGCCTGTGAGAAGGGGACAGCAAAACCTGTTCTACGGCAGACACGGACACACCGACAAACATCAGCAATTCCCACACAACAGGGATATGTACAGAGGAGAGGGCTGAGCTTCCCGCCGGCGCTGGGACCCGGCTACGCCAGCTGGGACTGGGGGGAAAAGAGGGGGGGGACACTCCAGAGTGAAATGGGAAACATCCCAGCTTCCTCCTGCAGGCCAGCTCACCCAGAGGGGAAGGGACAGGGGAACAAAACGTCGGTCACCATCAGAGAGGCGACTTGCTGCCAGGAAGCCAAGGTGGGGACTGCCAGCTCTTCTTGAGGCTGCCCCTTCCCCTCCCTCGATGGCCCACAGGCCTCAACGCGTGCACGCTGTGTCAGTGACCGCTGTGTCAGTGACCGACGGGCATCCTGCTAGGGGAGTGTCCCCAGCCACCAAACACTGACATCCCCACCCATCACACTGTGGCCAGTCGCCCTCCTGCCCGCTAGCATCCCCCCGTCAGCATGACATAGGCCGGGTGATGGAAAGAACAGTGAATAGCTGTTTTATTCTCCTCTCTGTCAACAGACAAACCTACAGACTTCTGGTTAGGACAGATGGATGAAAACCCCCAGTAAAAGTCTCTGACAAGCTCTATTAACCGATTAGAAACCAGGGACAGGGGGAAGAGGAGGTATTTGCCAGTCTCTAATGTCAAGAAGTGACACCAAAATTGACACGCTTCAGCATCGTACGTTCCTCCATTCCTCTGCCCAGGTCTGACAATTCCTGACACTCCTCCACCCTCTCTACCCTGCCACTGCTCCTCTCAGCTTTGGCAATGTTGCACCTTAAAACTACCCCAGAAGTGAAACGGCTACTAGCCCCAGCCCCCAGAAATCTACTACAAAGGCAGAAGCAGCTCTGTACGATTTCATCAAGCAGCAGCCTAGGTATGAGAGAACAGCTATCACCGGCCTTCCATCTGCCGCAGCTCTCCTGCTCCCAGTCTACATGATGCTGAACAGGAGATCAGACACTCGGAAAGGAGCCTGAACAGCATCCATGACTCGCAGGGCCAGTACTGCCCCTGTAGTGATGGATTTCAGGTAAGTGTTTGCTTTCACTGTTGACAGACAGGACCCAGGTCTCTACAAACCACCCTAAGGATCTCTTCCCACCCAGCCTCGTGCTGCAAAGCCTTTGTACCCTCTTCCTTCCCCACATCTGACAGCCAACACTCACCGAACACCAACGTCCTCTGGATGGGATGATATTCCAACTGAGGAGAGCCGTCTGTGGGATGTCTGTGTTACACAAACAGGAGCAACAAGGCCAAAGCTATCAGAGTTTGGGGGTTTCCAGTGCCGTGTGTAACACGAGGGGCAAAACTCAGAAGTTGTGAGCAAGAGTTAGCCAAGATCATCCACAGAAAGGAGAAAATGAGGAGCTAATATTGTGTGTGCCCTGCAGGAAGCAAAAGCCTAGAAACAGATAACCTGTATTGTCCAAAAAGGCAAGGCCAAGTCAAACTGACCGGTTTCAAAGGAGCAGCCTTTCATCAGAGGAAGTGGGGATGCAGGACAAGGACAGGGCTGGAGTGGACAGGGAACTAGTTAAGATGCAAGGCAGTAAGGAAGGTGGAAAGCCCATCCCTAAGCTTTATTTTTGCCTTCCCTAACTCGGTGGCTTTTCCATTGCATTCACAAGATACAACTGAGCAGACGGGCTCAAGGTGGGGAAGAGGAGGAGGAGGAGGAGGAGGAGGAGAAGAGAGAGAGTGTAAAGGGCACCACAGTGCCAAAGTGCAACAACATAAAAAAAGAAAAGACAGGACACTCATTCTGCACTCGGGGCTCATACCATGCAGTAAGAGGGGCGGCCGGGGCTGCTCCCCACCAGTAAACAGGGAGTTCGCTCGCTTAGTAGATTGGTTTTTCAGCCCACAAAGTAGGGTTGCCTAGCCAATGAGCGGTGATGTTCTTCAGTGAGACTGGCCGGTTGGGGAATGTGCTGCTACAGAACGGGCCTGTTAGCAGGAGCACCCGCTCTCCGTTACTGGCTGCTCAGGAGGTTTCTCTAGTTTGATGTCAATCACTGCAGGAGACAAGTTAAGGAAATCATCCAGTTCAAGTAAAAACAAGGAGGAAAGAACAGAGGAAGGGATCAGTATCTGAAAAGGTTGTTAGCTGTCCCTTCTGGCTAAGGGCAGGTGTTTTAGCAGAGCTGAACACATCCTGTCTGAACAGGATTAACTGCAAAAACAGTGGACTGGGTACATAAAGACCACTTACAAGGACAGAGCCCGATCGGATGGGTCTGCACACAAGACAGCCCTATGCAAAAAGAGGAAAGTATTATGGTATTTTAAAACTAGGCAAATTTTATCCTAAGCTTAAGTGCAGAACGCAAAACTTGTGCTTGCGGTTTTAAGTAGTTGTGTACATTTATATATAGACCACAAGCAGGGTCCTCAATTTACACCCATAGGTAAGGACCCACACCGCACTGGCTGTTTCAGCCACATCTCTGCAAAACCCCAGTAAGGCCCATCCTCATAATGCACCAAAAAGTCAGCAAGCCCAGCCTAACAAAAGATAATTGTCAAATTCTATGAGAACAGAAGTCACTGATAAGAAAGCAAGGATACTGTCTTCTTTGCTCTTCTCCGGCGTGCTGTCCATCCCAGGTAAGGCAGCAGCTACACGAAAAAAAAAAAAGTAGCAATAGGTAAAGCTGAAGGCTTGTCAGAAGAAAAAAAAAAGCATGTTAAAAAACACTGCCTTACAGCAGATTTTAAGATTCCGAATCGTACAAACTTGTTATGTGGGCACTTTAGCAAGCAAAGCTATGATCAACAAATGCCGTGAGAATTTTACCTAAGAAATTTAACAGGTTTTATTAAAGAAGTTATTCAATGCCTACAAAACAGACAGTTTTATTTTACCTGTTCCTACTCGAACAGAACACGGAATTAATTAGTATCAGTTCTCCTGGGGACGCACAGAACAATTCCCTCCCGCATTGAGTAAGCACGTCATCCACAGTTTCCAGCCTCAACTCTTTTGCACACAGCAATGTTCCAGTGCAGAACAGATTTCTGATAAGCAGCCTCACAAGAGACCAAAGGTTTAAGAATGTTTTATCTATGGAATACCTGAGGTTTTACAGCCCATCCTTTCAGTTCAGTCCTGCTGCAAAACAGCCATTTGTGAGCAGAACAGCTGGCTCAAGTGAGCTGCATTTAAGCTATTAAGGATGTGTTAGAGCTGGGAAGCACTATCATATCACCATAAAAAACAGAAAATGGTTTTGCATAATTTTTCAAGTCAATGCTTAGAGCTCCTCCTGCTGACATTAATGCAGCAGCTAACACAATACAGACACTGCTAGGCAGCCTGGTTGAAGAGTGCTGCATAAAAAACTAGAGGAATCATCTGCTAATGATTTTTCTCACAGTAGCTTGGCAGGGGCTTCTCATCCACCCCTTCCTATTGTGTCACTTGGAAAATCAAGCCACTGAGGCACCAGCAAGGTGCTACAGTTAGCATCCTTTTAGTCACAGAGGTTCTCACTGCAAACACCCACTTGGCAAATAAAGCAACAGTAAGTTAGAACTAAAGACTAAAGTGGATTCAACCCAGAACAGGCAAAAGAAACAACCCCAAAGTCTCCTAGTCCCATTGTGAGGCTCTCCGAACCAGCTGGCGTGCAGCAAATTGGTCAGTATGTTTCCCAGCTGTCACCAGCAGTACTCATGCTCTTACGATTGCCTTACACCCGCAGTTCTGCTTCAGAACTATTCCTGAACTAGTGAAGAGTGGGATCACAAGTTTATAGCAAGAAGCAATGGGCACAAAGTGAAATACAATAAATTCTGTTTAAACATAAGAAAAAAAATAAAAGGGTTTTTTGTTGTTGTTGGGTTTTTTTAATATAGAGATAGTCACACACTGTGATGGAGAGAAGGAGGCTCCATCCTTTGAGATACTCAGATCCCAACTGGAGTCAGTTCTGGGCAGCCTGCTCTGAGCATGAGGGTTGGACTAGACTATATCCAGAGATCCCTTCCAACCTCAACTATTCTAAGATTTTCCTCTGCGGCTTGCAAACAGAAGCAGGAACTTCTACTCTAGTCCATCAGATACACAATTATCCTGACTGATGTCAACACTGATTTTAGAAAACAGTGCATTAGCTATTAACAAAAGCAAAGGGAATGTATGAAATTGCATTTGACTGGTTGCACAAAATAGCGGCAT